GCTGTGAATATAACGATTACAGACAACATTGTCAAGATAATGGCTGCTCGAGAAATGCCACGCCGTGGTCAAACACCACACAATTCTACAGGCTATCAGGCGATCAGCGTTTGAGAACGTCATGTGACCAAAGCGGACTTCTTTGCAATGTAATACACATCACATACACAGCAGCTGGCGCACACGGCAGTGGACCACCGGGACCACACGCGCGCGACCAGGTAATGATAAAAACTGTAGCAGACCACACACACACGACTTTGAGCGAATAGCTGGGTGCGGCAGTCACGCGCTAAAACACACCACGCGCGCACACACACCGCGGACACGCAACGCACGCCGCACGGACGCACAGCGCACATGGCGCGCCACACACACCACACAGCGCGCGCGCTACACATACACACAGACACTTCACACGTTCACACGCGCACACATACGCTATACCACAGGCGGCGGCGGGCACACGCAACCACGCAACACGCGCACGCCAGCGCTACACAACGCGTCACACGCAGTTGCCACAGCACACACACTGCGCGCGCTATCCTCGTCCCTGTACCTACCTCTCTCTCTTTCTCATGCCCTCACTCTGCTGTGTCAACTCTCACGTGCGCACACATCAACTCACTCCCATTGCACGCACGGACTGCACGTCTTTCTCATCCATGCCTCACTGGCTCTGTGTACATCCGTCTCTCTGCTGTGTGTATCTCCTCACTGTTCGCGCGATTTTTGGCTTTGCTTTCCATGGCGCTATTATATGATACACATAATATATATTATATATGCTTGGCCTTTTTTCCGTTTCCTTTCCTTTTGCTTACTTCCTTCTCGCCTCTCGCGGATACGTATCGTCCACGGCATCCTGGTCGGCATGGTGAAAAGTTTTGCCAGCCAAATTGCTTGTACTTTCACACGACAAGCCAACGACGTTACACAAAAATTTTTTACTCCCCGAAGAGACAAAATTTGACATTTTACGCCTATTATACACGCGCCACG